ACCGAACAGGGATAAACGATTAACGGACCAGACACAACTGCTGATGATTCACAACTAAATCTTTTTGATTTTTCGTAATTCGATAGAGTTGTACAGAAGCCTTTCTACTTGCTCTTAAATACAGTCTCAGTCTCACGTGACCAAGAGTGGAGTAGCTGTCCATCCACCCAATTCGGACGGTTACGAACAGCGCTGGGGCGTCCATTGTGGCGCTGGATTTCTCCGTCGCACGGGTCCCAGGCATGAAAAACGCTCCTTACTGATAATAAGACATTTTATTACAGACTGCTTTGGAGTGGTAGAGACATATTTGTGAACGAAACCATCTTACATGTCTCAAGCAAATACACAGAGGCACCGCAAGTTCCTGAAATGTTTGGACGGAATGATATGAGTGGACCAGAGGACAAGACTATTTTTTACGCAGCGCATTAAAGGAGAATCCAGTCATCCCTCGATTTGTTTGCGCGGTTTTCAAAAACTGTTGGCGTTGTAAATCCGATGGATACTGTGTCCAATGTGTTGCGAACACAAGTAATGGGTAGGCAGATTAGACGGTCATTTTAAAGCATTCGGTGTGTGATTGGATTGCAACGCGTAATCTCAAAGTGGACCGCGATTTTCATTGAGTTGAACCTTGGTCAATTCGATCACTGGGACCGTAAGTTCGAAACTAGTCCTGGTGTGCAGTGTTTTCGGGTGGGCAACACTCAACATCTATCTGCTTGAGCAATTACGATCCCAAGGATCGAACTGAACAAGCCGTACTTCAATGCGAATTGAAGTCCATTTTGAGATTATGCGTCGCACTCTAAACACACAACGAATGCTATAAAACGGTCCCTCCAATCAGTCATTACCCGTTGTGCCAATGGTTACCTGTTGTGTACCGGTAGTCAAAGGGGTAGAGGTTTCAACTAACATCCCAATGGTCAAGAGCTCGATTATTGCTATCTCTACCATCGTGGAGTGCAGTGTTTTCTGACGTGCAACATCCAATATCTCAACAGACTGAAGAACGTTATCTACAGTTGGTGGCGATGGGGCTAATTTGGCTTCAGGATGGCACGTCATTACGAGGGATACCATAGAGAGGTGGTAGCTATTGAAAACATATGCTTCTGATAAAGAGGTTCTGGTCAGTACACAGTTGAAGAAAGTGTGGTGATGCTGTGATTCCAACAGTTGACAGAATTGAGTATTCGCGCGTCAGGAAACAAGCATATAAACTCAGTCTACGTGACCATTCAAAGTAAAGAAAAGCTATTGTCTTTCAAGCTATAGCCAATGGGAGAGACGATGACTGGACGTGTGCTTCTGTTGCATCCTAACAACCCCAATTGAGCTCTAAATTCGAGTAACACACATGCGACTGTTCACTGGGAAAGGTAGTATTTGCTAATCGAATTAGTAAGACTCTGACATTGCAAATGTCCTGAGCCGTTTGCTACGTATTATCGATGAACCGAAGTATGTAAGCTCTGTCGCTGGAATCTGAGTCTATTACATACAAATATAATAGGACACCGATGTCCTGTACGGGTGTTTCGAAAACATCATTCATCAATCTATGCAAGCTTACCGCCCGGCTGGTGACAGGCAACTTGATGTGAACACTGATGCTTGAAAGTTTTGCTGTTTATGTAAAGAATGTGTCTGGTGTACAGTCGAAAAAGCAGTCGCTATTATCGGTTTGAAAATACATAGTGGAGAATGACTCCACTATGTTAACTCTAAAAGATCAACTTGCACGTCCTCAGCACAAGCAAGTTCAAATCTCCGTACTATGGCTATTCGAACTAGTGAGGATGGTTGCCATTGAACGAGTCTTTGAAGTACTCCGATCTGCGTCCAGTGGAAGCGTGTGTAGAAACAATAAGATGCCTTGCGCCCGGGCGCTACCTAGTAACACTGACTAAGCGTCAGGGTAGAAGTGCATTACGCAGGTAGATAACAAAATTGAGCGCAGAGTAGCAGTGAGATATAGATAATGAGTCTAAATCCAGCGCACACAAACCACAAAGGTCCAGCATTGGCTAGTATTTGAGAACAGGAACCCTTTATTCCGAGTGACCGTAACGAGTATACCCACGACAAGGCGAAGAAGAGTACATTAGCTCATCTTTGGGGACTGCCTCTTTGCTAGACTAGTTACAGAATTAAACCACGGCGATACAGGTCATTTGATCCAAGGCGGCTAGCAAATCCACGGATGTTAAAGTAGCGTGCGCCAAAAACAGTTACTCACCTCTTTTAGCTGAGAATTTAGTCGATCGGTTTGGTCTCTGACTGTGTCCAGTCCCTGCACGATTAAAGGAACGCTGACAGACTTCGCGGTACTGCAAGCAAAGTGCAAGATGGACGCGACTTGGTTTAAGGTCGTGCTGAGACCGACGCTGTTGGATCGCTTGGGACAATTGAGTCCCAGATTCAGTTAAACCAGTCATCAGCTGGTGCGCTCGATCGATCGAAGAATGAAACATGCACAAAGCTTGGTTGAGTTTGCACGAGCTTTCAGGTGGGACAAGCGCTCGGTGCGTGACACGGTATCATCTTGTGTTTGCGAAGGATTGCTGCAAGAGAGAAACATGTATTCCGAGAATGCAAAAGGTGAGATGCACACCAAAGACAAGGACAAAACATTTAAGATGTAACGCAACGCTAGATATTAATCCGAAGCATAAGCGAAGGAAAAGAAGAGGCATTCTGCAACATACAGTTCAACTGATCAAATGATGTACTCAACACAAGCACTGAGGAGAACCAACACCATGAAAATTGATCAAAAGTACAGGAGAATTAATAAAAAGAATGATGAGAACTCACCCGATCAGCCGGGAGAAAATAGTTAGCGCAGGTTTCCGCTAGACTTAAAGCGCGATTAGCAACAGGGCCCAAAATGTCTTCTGTCGATGATTCTTTTAAAGTAGGACAGATGGATTCCAGGCGATCAAGGAGCTGATGACATGCAACATCGTCAACCTTCTGTGCAACATCTAGGAAAGTGGAGAAAATTCGAAAAAGTCGCAAAGCCGATGATGAGGATGATAATGATAATAATAATAATAATAATAAAGGACGGTTCAACTCGGTAGCAAAAAAGCTAGAAGGTCAGTGTTAACCTGAAAAGATACAGTAAGCGATAAACACTTGGAATTAGATGCAAAAGCGTCATCCAGTAAGTGTCCCCATGTCGGTTTGTCAGTCATAAAGTCCATTTATCCATTGATCGTTGCTGAACGAGGCCAAAAAAGACGCACGTAGGTAAGGTTTCTAGTTAGGATATGCAGCATAAAGAGCGCGATCAAGTTTACCTACGATCAGACGTAATGAGCAGCTACCAAAAGAGAAATTGTTGTTCTCGCCTGAGATTTGTCTACTATAGAACATCATGACCGACAAGAGGATCACATCAGTACTCTATATCGACGACTCAGTGTAATACGGCCATGAAAAAGACAAGCAGCAGCTAACAGGGGATAAAGTGTAGGGTAGAGTGAGACCTAAGGTTGGACTTGAGTGCATTAGATGAACATCTAGGGTCGATACGATCATACCTTGCTGACACCGCATGGACCCGGGCAAGTGGTTATTCTGGGAAACTAAAATGGCCTCGTTGCGATGTTGTTCGTGAGGCTTCCACCATCTGAAGCATAATCCTACTTATTCTAGGGATAACTCGTCACCATAAACACCTTAGGTAGGAGCCCAAGATATGTATCATAGTTAGCCAAAGACAGCTCTGCCTCTGGGTTTGCTTGAGGCTCAGTATTCACTATCAAGTTATTTGCTAGTACACACTGAATGAGCTACTTCGACTGGTGCGAGATGTTTACAACAAAACTTCCGACCCGAAGAAAGGATCAACATCCCACTAGGCAACCCGAGTTAAGGGTATTCGGATTTATAGCAAACCTTCCGGAGTTAGTAGTTGCCACGTTCTAAACACCAGAAGTGGAACTGTACAACGTAACATGTACAAAGCTATCCATCCAGCGGAAAACTATCTCGAGCTAAGGTTAATAACAACTCCAAAGTAAAACAAGTAACCTCACTGTGACCATACCGGATAAGGTAGTTGTGAGAACTAAACCGCGTACTAGATTTTCCCCGTGTTGCGTCTGTATGCGAGTTGGATACAATGGGACAAAACGGTGGAGGTCATGCCGACTGTTTGAGGTAAAACACAGCTCATGTGCACTGCCATGCAACAGTCTAAAGCGCTAGTTGTCTGGGTTACTGACGCCATTTTACAAAGCCTCGGTTCTGTAAGCATTGATACTTCTCTGACTTTCGATGTCAGGCAAGAGAGCGGTTAAGCTGGACCGAGTGAGACTCACGCCAAGAATTCGTAGCTAGCAGATGCGCGGATAGAACATTAAGATAGTCAATAGTTGAGAGGAAATCCGTGTTCCACCCAATCTACATAAATCAAATAAATCGTTGGCTTGCACCAATACAACAAACGACGTAAGTAACTGGAAAACAAATACTGTAGTCTGCTGACATCTAAAGTGAAACACGAAGTGGTGAGAAGGCCGTGGCAGGTATACAAATGAGCTCTAGATCAATTATCGGAAATGTTATCATTGCAATTAGATCGGGCAGTAACATGGTATGGTGGCTTACGTAACCGTGTTCCGCTGAGGAGTACTAGATGGTGTTTCCCAAGCGCTTTGACAGCCACTGATATGAGATTGGTGATGGGTTAGAGATTAAAAAAACTAAACCCCGAAATTCACAAGGCTGAAAGTGAGAAAATGTTTGGTGGTTTGTTAGTTCAGAAACTGCCCATTGAAAACAATGACTCAAGAGTTATACGGATGGCTAGATTTGTGCACAGCATAAGAGTCATGAGGTTTATCTAGCGATAGGGTAGCACATCTGGTACACACCAAACTATTACTTCTACCCATCATTACAAAGCAACCCCACCATTTCCACAGGATAGGAATCGGGAAACTCTCCTGCGGGTGACTGCGGTCACAGCAGAAAAAAACGTATCACTTCAGTCTATCTCAAGAGTTGCCCAGAACCATCAATTGTAACCAAACTACAGACCGCTCCACAACAATGATGTCACCTCGAGTGGTGAAGTTCGCGATTACATTGCTAGCCCAGGGCTATTGTGCAGCACGGTACGCAGAGAACAGTACTGGAGTAGAAAACACTTCACTTGCTGAGCCGCGATCGTCTGACTGTATTACAAGTCAGCTTTGGCAATTATTGACTTTCAGAGAGTAGTGAACAGGTGGCGTCCGAGTACGCACTGCTGAGGAGTACCGAGAAGACGAAGCGGCCGTGCCCTTCTGGATGTGTACTGGCTACCTAAATGAAAGCAGTTTTGATAAATCTAAAACAAAATTGAAACCCAAGCCCCTCCCACAACTCCATAAAAATAATTATCTTTCTTCAGGAGCTCCTTAGTGCCCTCGTATGAGTGAAACTCTGCCTCACTAAACGCACCACACTCGTAGCAAAACGCAGCGGGTGATCATCATTATATCTAGCGGATCTGCGGGGCTGTAAAGAATAAGATTGACATGACGCGGGAAATATGGCCATCTAGAATGGGAGGATGGCGAGCAAAAGCAGCAGTCGTAGCCTACGTTGATGCAACACGTAAAGTGGTAGGCGAGTTCCCACAATGACAACCTGACACGCCACTCTGTCCAGTTAAGAAACGAATTGGCTAGATATCATCCTGAAAATCAGACAGTTTAAAACAAAAAGAGTGGATAAAACACGAACAAAATTATCGAGTATACTTACTGGTATCTAACACAGGCTTAATCACAGAAGCCAGAGAAGCCGCTGTGTTTTCTAATTTCGAAAAAATTGTAGTCAATTTGTCTTTTCCTTTGGCCCACTGATAGGTGTCCGATGCCAGCTTGCAAGTATCACCAACTACGGGGTATTGTGATACACGGCAAGCAAAACCAGACATAGCAAATCGTTGAGATAACTAGCTGTTGTTGCGACAGCAGAAGTGTAACAGTCCGGATCAATGGATCAATTGTTTACTGTCTATGCTTCCGTGTTATTAACGGCTCAGTTTAGGTTCGAGTGCTGCAATATAAAAAGGAGGCATCGGTATGCATAAACATGTAACGAGAACGTCATTGAAGTAAACTCACGTGTTTGTGCTGGTAAAGAGGCAGAGACAACAGTAACACAGATAAACTGAATAAAACAACAATGTACGAAATGCCACAGTCAATAACCACTTTCAACGCTCATTGAGATTACCACTGGTTGCAACCGTTTTAAGTAACTGGACAGCAGTTTGAGGAGGGGGCGTTAGGTAGCGTCAGACAGAACATTCACGATGCAGACTGTTTTTCTATAACAATACGGTCTCATTCGAACGACCAGAAAATGCTCAGCCATTACACTAAAAGCTTGATTACAGCAAACCTCAAGGGGGATCACAGGGCTCCCACAAGCAAGAAAGAGTTATCCAATGTGTGCGGATCAGCCATTATTCATCCACTTATGATGTGATGGTGACCGAATTTTATCACACTACGTGGCTTTTAAATCACCAGCGAGTGCTGTGATGTGCTGGTAGGTTCATAAACTTTGTAAAAAGTGAGCAATCAGTTTTAAGGTTTCCGTTACTTCAGAGCGGCATATGACGATTTTCAAGCATGTGTGCCGTGCAGTTGATCGCTATCTTGACACCTAGGCAGCAATTGGTAAACCCCATCTATACTGCTGACAAGTGGACACACTCATATAAACTAAATCCAATCAGAAAGTGGTTATTGGGGTGTGGCATTTCGTACATTGTTGTTTTATTCAGTTTATCTGTGTTACTGTTGTCTCTGCCTCTTTACCAGCACAAGCACGTGAGTTTACTTTAATGACGTTCTCGTTACATGTTTATGCATAACGATGCCTCCTTTTTATATTGCAGCACTCGAACCTAAACTGAGCCGTTAATAACACGGAAGCATAGACAGTAAACAATTGATCCATTGATCCGGACTGTTACACTTCTGCTGTCGCAACAACAGCTAGTTACCTCAACGATTTGCTATGTCTGGTTTTGCTTGTCGTGTATCACAATACCCCGTAGTTGGGGATACTTGCAAGCTGGCATCGGACACCTATCAGTGGGCCAAAGGAAAGGACAAATTGACTACAATTTTTTCGAAATTAGAAAACACAGCGGCTTCTCTGGCTTCTGTGATTAAGCCTGTGTTAGATACCAGTAAGTATACTCGATAATTTTGTTCGTGTTTTATCCACTCTTTTTGTTTTAAACTGTGATTTTCAGGATAATATCTAGCCAATTCGTTTCTTAACTGGACAGAGTGGCGTGTCAGGTTGTCATTGTGGGAACTCGCCTGCCAGTTTACGTGTTGCATCAACGTAGACTAGGACTGCTGCTTTTGCTCGCCATCCTCCCATTCTAGATGGCCATATTTTCCGCGTCATGTCAATCTTATTCTTTACAGCCCCGCAGATCCGCTAGATCTGATGATGATCACCCGCTGCGTTTTTGGTACGGGTGTGGTGCGTTTAGTGAGGCGGAGTTTCACTCATACGAGGGCACTAAGGAGCTCCTGAAGAAAGATAATTAATTTTATGGAGTTGTGGAAGGGGCTTGGGTTTCAATTTTGTTTCTGATTCGTCAAAACTACTTCATTTAGGTAGCCAGTACACATCCAGAATGGCACGGCCGCTTCGTCTTCTCGGTACTCCTCAGCAGTGCGTACTCAGATGAGGGACTAATCTGCCACCCGTTCACTACTCTCTGAAAGTCAATAATTGCCAGCGCTGACTTATAATACAGTCGGACGATCGCGGCTCAGCAAGTAAGGTGTTTTCTACTCCAGTACTGTTCTCTGCGTACTGTGCTCCACAATAGCCCTGGACTGACAATGTGATCGCGAACTTCACCATTCGAGGCGCCATCATTGTTTTGGAGCGGTCTGTAGTTTGGTTACGATTGATGATTCTAGGCAACTATTGAGATAGACTGAAGTGATACGTTTTTTCTGCTGCGACCGCAATCACCCGCAGGAGAGTTTCCCGATTCCTTTTCTTTGGGAATGGTAGGGTTGATTTGTAATGACAGGTAGAGGTAATAATTTGGCGTGTACCAGATGTGCTACCCTACCGCTAGATAAACCTCATGACCCTTATGCTGTGCACCAATCTAGCCATTCGTATAACTCTTGAGTCCTTGTTTTCAATGGGCAGTTTTTGAACCAACAAACCACCAAACATTTTCTCACTTTCAGCCTTGTGAATTTTGGGGCTTAGTTTTTTTCATCTCTAACCCATCACGGATCTCATCTCAGTGGCTGTCAAAGCGCTTGGGAAACACCATCTAGCACTCCTCAGCGGAACACGGTTATGTAAGCCACCATACCACGTTACTGCCCGACCCAATTACGATGATAACATTTCCAATAATTGATCTAGTGCTCATTTGTATACTTGCCACTACCCTCTCACCACTTCTATTTCACTTTAGATGTCAGCAAACCACAGTATTTGTTTTCCAGTTACTTACGTCGCTTCTTGCATTGGTTCAAGCCAACAATTTATTTGATTTATGTAGATTGGGTGGAACCCGGATTTCCTCTCAACTATTGACTATCTTAATGTTTTGTCCGCGCATCTGCTAGCTACGAATTCTTGGCGTCAGTCTCACTCGGTCCAGCTTAATCGCTATCTTGCCTGACATCGAAACTCAGAGAAGTATAAATGCTTACAGAACCGAGGCTTTGTAAAATGGCGTCAGTAACCCAGACAACCAGCGCTTTGGACTGTTGCATGGCAGTGCACATGAGCTGTATTTTACCTCAAACAGTCGGCATGACCTCCACCGTTTTTGTCCTATTGTATCCAACCCGCATACAGACGCAACACGGGGAAAATCTAGTACGCAATTTAGTTCTCACAACTACCTTATCCGGTATGGTCACAGTGACGTTACTTGTTTTACTTTGGAGTTGTTATTAACCTTAGCTCGAGATAGTTTTCCGCTGGATGGATAGCTTTGTACATGTTACGTTGTACAGTTCCACTTCTGGTGTTTAGAACGTGGCAATTACTAACTCCGGAAGGTTTGCTATAAATCCGAATACCCTTAACTCGGGTAGCCTAGTAGGATGTTGATCCTTTCTTCGGGTCGGAAGTTTTGTTGTAAACATCTCGCCACCAGTCGAAGTAGCTCATTCAGTGTGTACTAGCAAATAACTTGGTAGTGAATACTGAGCCTCAAGCAAATCCAGAGGCAGAGCTGTCTTTGGCTAACTATGATACATATCTTGCGCTCCTAACTAAGGTGTTTATGGTGACGAGTTATCCCTAGAATAAGTAGGATTATGCTTCAGATGGTGGAAGCCTCACGAACAACATCGCAACGAGGCCATTTTAGTTTCCCAGAATAACCACTTGCCCGGGTCCATGTGGTGTCAGCGAGGTATGATCGTATCGACCCTAGATGTTCATCTAATGCACTCAAGTCCAATCTTAGGTCTCACTCTACCCTACACTTTATCCCATGTTAGCTGCTGGTTGTCTTTTTCATGGCCGTATTACACTGAGTCGTCGATATAGAGTACTGATGTGATCCTCTTGTTGGTCATGATGTTCTATAGTAGACAAATCTCAGGCGAGAACAACAATTTCTCTTTTGGTAGCTGCTCATTACGTCTGATCGTAGGTAAACTTGATCGCGCTCTTTATGCTGCATATCCTAACTAGAAACCTTACCTACGTGCGTCTTTTTTGGCTTCGTTCAGCAACGATCGATGGATAAGTGGACTTTATGACTGACAAACCGACATGGGGACACTTAGTGGATGACGCTTTTGCATCTAATTCCAAGTGTTTATCGCTTACTGTATTTTTTCAGGTTAACACTGACCTTCTAACTTTTTTGCTACCAAGTTGAACCGTCCTTTATTATTATTATTATCATTATCATCCTCATCATCGGCTTTGCGACTTTTTCGAATTTTCTCCACTTTCCTAGATGTTGCACAGAAGGTTGACGATGTTGCATGTCATCAGCTCCTTGATCGCCTGGAATCCATCTGTCCTACTTTAAAAGAATCATCGACAGAAGACATTTTGGGCCCTGTTGCTAATCGCGCTTTAAGTCTAGCGGAAACCTGCGCTAACTATTTTCTCCCGGCTGATCGGGTCAGTTCTCATCATTCTTTTTATTAATTCTCCTGTACTTTTGATCAATTTTCATGGTGTTGGTTCTCCTCAGTGCTTGTGTTGAGTACATCATTTGATCAGTTGAACTGTATGTTGCAGAATGCCTCTTCTTTTCCTTCGCTTATGCTTCGGATTAATATCTAGCGTTGCGTTACATCTTAAATGTTTTGTCCTTGTCTTTGGTGTGCATCTCACCTTTTGCTTCTCGGAATACATGTTTCTCTCTTGCAGCATCCTTCGCAAACACAAGATGATACCGTGTCACGCACCGAGCGCTTGTCCCACCTGAAAGCTCGTGCAACTCACCAAGCTTTGTGCATGTTTCATGCTTCGATCGATCGAGCGCACCAGCTGATGACTGGTTTAACTGAATCTGGGACCCAATTGTCCCAAGCGATCCCAACAGCGTCGGTCTCAGCGACCTTAAACCAAGTCGCGTCCATCTTGCACTTTGCTTGCAGTACCGCGAAGTCTGTCAGCGTTCCTTTAATCGTGCAGGGACTGGACACAGTCAGAGACCAAACCGATCGACTAAATTCTCAGCTAAAAGAGGTGAGTAACTGTTTTTGGCGCACGCTACTTTCATCGTGGATTTGCTAGCCGCCTTGGATCAAATGACCTGTATCGCCGTGGTTTAATTCTGTAACTAGTCTAGCAAAGAGGCGTCCCCAAAGATGAGCTAATGTACTCTTCTTCGCCTTGTCGTGGGTATACTCGTTACGGTCACTCGGATAAAGGGTTCCTGTTCTCAAATACTAGCCAATGCTGGGACCTTTGTGGTTTGTGTGCGCTGGATTTAGGCTCATTATCTATATCTCACTGCTACTCTGCCCTCAATTTTGTTATCTACCTGCGTAATGCACTTCTACCCTGACGCTTAGTCAGTGTTACTAGGTAGCGCCCGGGCGCAAGGCATCTTATTGTTTCTACACACGCTTCCACTGGACGCAGATCGGAGTACTTCAAAGACTCGTTCAATGGCAACCATCCTCACTAGTTCGAATAGCCATAGTACGGAGATTTGAACTTGCTTGTGCTGAGGACGTGCAAGTTGATCTTTTAGAGTTAACATAGTGGAGTCATTCTCCACTATGTATTTTCAAACCGATAATAGCGACTGCTTTTTCGACTGTACACCAGACACATTCTTTACATAAACAGCAAAACTTTCAAGCATCAGTGTTCACATCAAGTTGCCTGTCACCAGCCGAGCGGTAAGCTTGCATAGATTGATGAATGATGTTTTCGAAACACCCGTACAGGACATCGGTGTCCTATTATATTTGTATGTAATAGACTCAGATTCCAGCGACAGAGCTTACATACTTCGGTTCATCGATAATACGTAGCAAACGGCTCAGGACATTTGCGATGTCAGAGTCTTACTAATTCGATTAGCAAATACTACCTTTCTCAGTGAACAGTCGCATGTGTGTTACTCGAATTTAGAACTCAATTGGGGTTGTTAGGATGCAACAGAAGCACACGTCCAGTCATCATCTCTCCCATTGGCTATAGCCTGAAAGACAATAGCTTTTCTTTACTTTGAATGGTCACGTAGACTGAGTTTATATGATTGTTTCCTGACGCGCGAATACTCAATTCTGTCAACTGTTGGAATCACAGCATCACCACACTTTCTTCAACTGTGTACTGACCACAACCTCTTTATCAGAAGCATATGTTTTCAATAGCTACCACCTCTCTATGGTATCCCTCGTAATGACGTGCCATCCTGAAGCCAAATTAGCCCCATCGCCACCAACTGTAGATAACGCTCTTCAGTCTGTTGAGATATTGGATGTTGCATGTCAGAAAACACTGCACTCCACGATGGTAGAGATAGCAATAATCGAGCTCTTGACCATTGGGATGTTAGTTGAAACCTCTACCCCTTTGACTACCGGTACACAACGGGTACCGATTGGCACAACGGGTAATGACTGATTGGAGGGACCGTTTTATAGCATTCGTTGTGTGTTTAGAGTGCGACGCATAATCTCAAAATGGACTTCAATTCGCATTGGAGTACGGCTTGTTCAGTTCGATCCTTGGGATCGTAATTGCTCAAGCAGATAGATGTTGAGTATTGCCCACCCGAAAACACTGCACACCAGGACTAGTTTTGAACTTACGGTCCCAGCGGTCGAATTGACCAAGGTTCAATTCAGTGGAAATCGCGGTCAACATTGAGATTACGCGTTGCAGTCCAATCACACACCGAATGCTTTAAAATGACCGTCTAATCTGCCTACCCATTACTTGTGTTCGCAACACATTGGACACAGTATCCATCGGATTTACAACGCCAACAGTTTTTGAAAACCGCGCAAACAAATCGAGGGATGACTGGATTCTCCTTTAATGCGCTGCGTAAAAAATAGTCTTGTCCTCTGGTCCACTCATATCATTCCGTCCAAACATTTCAGGAACTTGCGGTGCCTCTGTGTATTTGCTTGAGACATGTAAGATGGTTTCGTTCACAAATATGTCTCTACCACTCCAAAGCAGTCTGTAATAAAATGTCTTATTATCAGTAAGGAGCGTTTTTCATGCCTGGGGCCCGTGCGACGGAGAAATCCAGCGCCACAATGGACGCCCCAGCGCTGTTCGTAACCGTCCGAATTGGGTGGATGGACAGCTGCTCCACTCTCGGTCACGTGAGACTGAGACTGTATTTAAGAGCAAGTAGAAAGGCTTCTGTACAACTCTATCGAATTACGAAAAATCAAAAAGATTTAGTTGTGAATCATCAGCAGTTGTGTCTAGTCCGTTAATCGTTTATCCCTGTTCGG